ATTTACATGTACTCTTGGATTTTGGGTAATAACAATGTTAACCAAGAAAAAAATATTCGTTATTTCTTCATACATCTTTCAGGGTCCAACCCCGAAGAACTTCACTCAATTCTATCGCTAAAAGACGCCGAAATGGCTGTCAATTTCATATTGGAAGCAAAATATGAAACTAAATGCTAAGATGCATGCATTTATTTTACCGTACACTCTGCTACGTTGATAACTTGGAGGTAACTTTACCTAAAGGTTTCGACACAGTAAGATGTTGATTTTTCGAAATTTAAAGCTATGTGATTAAATGGCATCAGCACCTCAAGTGGATAATCCTTTAGACAATTTCTCCTTTAAAATAAAAGTGAAGCAGTATCTAGCGAAACAACTGTCGGAATCAACTTGCTCATGAGCTTTAAAAATATAAAAATTGTTTTCAGTATCAATTTGCGTATTTTTTTTTATTTTTTTGGGTTAGTGCTTTGGGTGTGGTATCAAAACAGCCTCAATGTCAAGGAAAGCACACAAGCCTGGCTGAATCCTTAGATTTTTTACTATACTCAACACAAGAACGCTGTAATGACTATTCATGAAAGTATTTTATCCCATTTAATTACATCTAACATACCACGAAAACATGTCGAACACATTTTTTGTTTTATTAGGCTATCAGTCAATTGACAAGCCTGTGAAACAGTGATTATGTGCTAAGTAATTGGTAGTACTAAGTTATATTGCCTAGATCGGTCTATAGATTACGTGATTCCTAAAATCACACCTCTCACCTAATGTGGTGATGGATGGTATTCGTTCCTTAGACAGCTCAATGTTTATCCAAACTTGATTACAGTAAAGGAAAAATCTATGGATTCAGCCAGGCTTGTGTGCTTTCCTTGGCATTGAGGCTGTTTTGATACCACACCCAAAGCAATAACCCAAAAAAATAAAAAATATTAAATAAATAATATTAAACGCCTGGTCTTGTCATCAATTAGCAACTTTGAAATTAAAATACAAATCACTGCAATTCCGAACAAACTAAATTAAAAGGTAATTACTAATAAACGGGTAAATGTTAAACTAATTTCTAAACATTTATTATCGTTATAACAATAAACATGTATAAGGCACTGCTAATACTTCTGTGTTGTTAGTACTGATTTATTTATTTTTTAATTATTAAGTTAAAGTATTTCGTTCAGTCATTAACCGGTCGGCGAAGTTAGGTTTAGCAATACAAAGTTTTAAATTTCCTCTGTCAATTACTGAGTTCTTTTTAATGGCATTGGGGGCGAACGAATAGATCTATACAAATAATTAAAATTGAAGTGTCTGTTTGTAAAAGGTTTTTTTCATGCTCACACGGTTATTTGCATGATACCTATGCCTAAAAACCGTTTTTTGTCTGTCTGTCTGTTTGTTCAGGTAATTTCCTAAACGGCTGGACCGATTTTGATAATATTTCACTAGCATTTAGTTGTCTACTAACTAACTTAGGCTATTTTTCTGTCAGAATAAATAATTTTGCCCGGGCCCGGGAATTGCACCCATTCAGGCAGCGTTTTTCATTCCACGCGAACGAAGTCGCGGGGCATATATAACCTAATATATAACGGTATAATATAAAACCTAATGGTAAGCAACTCAAGAGAACATTTGAGTACATTTCCCTCTAGAATTCTTGAAATTCTCCATTCAAACCTTGGTTATGTTAAACTAGATACTACCCGCGGCTTAACTCGAGTGGTTGCTTACAATATAAAAGGCATCAGCTACCCAAATTTCAAATGTGTAGTATTGTCTTGATGAATCAGTTCGCCAGGGTAAGAAATTTCATATATATAGATTATCTTAGTACCCCGTACGTGAAATTTGCCTAAAAGTATAAATTTTAGGTCAGTATAACAGCAATAAAGGCAGTAGAAACATTCTTTTAATCTTGAATAGCCTATTTATCGACGAAGGCAAAGGCTATATTACATCACACTGTGGCCAATAGGAGCCTAGAATCGAAGTGAAATAATAAATGTTGGAAAAAACGGGGCAAATTTATTCCTTTATTGACGTTGTGCGGGTCAGCTAGTATCCCATAAATCCATGAAAACATCCTATTCAGGCGGCCTACGCCGGAAAAGAAATCTGATGTGTTGTAGGAATATCGTTTTTTTTTAAATATTGTTTATTATTCTGCAGAAATGAGACGGAAACTCATTGCAAGAGGATAGCTCAGAAAGCTTTGAAGATGTAAGATGTAAACAACTGTACCTCAAGAGTATCTTTTTTTTTTCTAAACCCCTATTTCTGAGGAGGAGCGACTCAAAGGATGGCTACGAGCTTGTGACACGGTACTCGGTAGTCAGTTACTATCAGATGATCCGTCTGCTCGTTTACCTGCTATGCCATAAAAAAAACTACTGTTAATTCTTCTCCAGGGATTCGGCGAATATGGAGGATCGCAAGAGTCAAGCTCCGAAAGCATGGAAGACGTGAGTATAAATTTCCTATGGTCCATTCGCGTTAAGAAAACTAATCAAGTTCCAATAAATTATCGTTTCGTAAGAAAGTTCTGAAACTGATTTGTAAAGGGGCGGGCTTGATTGATGCGTCACTATTTTCTTAACGCGAATGGACCATAGTGTGTCACATTACAATGGGTCTGTAGGTTAGGCTATGTTTTATGTATTGACTTGGACGGGCCTGTTGGCTTAGACTAGTACGGTACGTGATCCTGACAGCTAAGTCAGAGGTCGTCGGTTCGATTCCAACTCAGAACAAACAATTATGTGATGATCACGATCATTTGTTCTGTGTCATTTGGGTGTAATTTTTCTACCTATTAAATATGTATGTATTCAAAAGCATATAAGTATATTTATCAGCAGTCTGGTTATCATAGTAGGTATAGGGTATGCCTAGTTTAGAACCACACGGCGGTGTGTGAAATTATTATTGAACAACATATAAGTCGTTTGGAATTAGCGTGTATGAGATATCCCATTAATGTCATAAATGCGAAGATAAAAATTAGTAGGTATATGTATGTTTACGACGTTTAATAATAATAAAAATTCGGTCATCTGACATACAACGCCATCTAGTTTCAAACTAAGCTGAGCTATTACAGCTGGATTGACTGATAGAATACTAAAATACTTTTTTCTTTCGTAAAAATATACATATAATATAATTTTACTACTATGGAAGTAAACATGGTAAAGGACTAATCTCCCCTGCGCGAAGTACTTCTAAGGCATAGAGCGTTGAATGTTCGTACGTAAACGGTTACGGTTATAAGCGATAGGTATAAGAAGCCTTCTGATGATGAGGCATCAGAACCGTAAGATAGGGTAATCAGTAAATAATGTTGACAAAATGCTAAGTTGGAGACTTTACATAATGAAATTAGTGTTCGCTGCAAATTCAATATTCAATTTGGTCACTAGTAATTAAATTGCTAGTCTAAAATAGGTTATAAAATTTGTACGCTTAAGTTGAGTCCTTTAGGCGCATTAAAATCGGTTCAACTTATTAACGCTCTCTATTATTGCAGATAAAAAACGGAATCTACAAATCCGATACAGAAGATTACGAAAATGATAAATTTAACCAGTTTTGCGAAGAATCCTGTAAAAACTCAGAGGACAAATGCCTGAAAAGCAGACAGTGCTATCCAAATGAGAAGTGTTATCCATGCGAAACATTAGAAAATTTCTGCTTACGTATAAATAAAAATTTCACGATGGAGGCATATAAAATACTAGCTGGCCTGCGCAACTTGGTCTGCGTCACTAAAAAGGAATACATATTAAAGAATAAAATTGTTGTGTTTACTATTCTCCTTGTATTTGCCAGGTTCTCTCCCCATTTAAACTTTCCTAGACTTCCACAAAATTAATTTTTTTTTTTTTTGTGATAATTATTCTATTTATTAATAAAGTTGACTGTACAGATTTATTTAAAATACATACATTTAAGTTACACATACACATACATTTAAGTTTAAGTTACAAAATTAATTAGCCAAAATTAACCAAATCGGTCCAGCTATTCCCTAGTTTTAGTAAGACTAATGAAAATCAATTGATTTTTATATATAAGACATAGATTTGTTGTGCGAACAAGTTATCATCTGCGGTATTTCCGGACTGATACGACCTTCAAACCTTCACGAAAAGAGCGTACTCTTTCCTAAAAGGTCGGCAACGCGTTTGTGACTCCTGAGTTGCCGTTGACGGGCGAATATAGTCACTTTCCATCAGGTGACCTGTCTGCTCGTCTGCCCCCACTAACATATAAAAAAGAGAAGATTCAAAGTTTAGACATATTGAAAATGTATGTCAAGATAGTATAAGCAGCCTTATCCGCACCTTCTACTGTTTCCTATAAATATAGGTAAGTCTTGAAGGTAATCAGGTCCTGACTTCGCTGCAGTTACAGCGATGACAGCGAGGATTCAATTCCCTCCTGTCCACCAATTGCAGATTCTTTCAAAGCTATGCAGTAGCCTTGCTCACTCACTTATGATCGGCTTGAACACCACCATAATAGATGGCTAATGGCATGACAGATGGCTAGCCATTATACGTTAAGTATAATGATTAATAAAACATCGTTTTGATTATATACCCCTTGAAGTACTTTGTATTGTAGTTCAGTTCTGTAACAATCTATTCATTCACGATAAAGAGATTCATTCATGAATAAATACTCCTGACGCAATAATCTCTTTGAAGAACAAATATATCTGACGATCTCAGAACACACTTAACGTCAAACTTAAAAGATTATATCAGCTTTCAAAACAAAATCAAATTTCTAAAGCCGCCCATTCATTTAGGAGCTGTCATGCAACAGGCCGACATAGATATACAGGCGTACACAGATACAACTGTTAAACGTGTAATAGCCAAAATGGAGAGTCCTTTTGCGTTGGGGGTTAAAAAAGAAAGACATATAATGTTAAAAAGGATCCATGAGCAAACATTAAGGTCTAAATAATTTTGACTCACCAAGTTCTGGCTACTGGAGCATGGCAGACGTAGATGTACCGTTGCACTGCAAGAGCCAAGGTCAACCAGATACTCGCTGTGTGAAACATTGCTGGAATCACCTAAATGAAAAAAAAAGATTGAATGATTTATTTATTTCAGAGTAGGGTTTTACAACTACATTACATAAATTACAATAATACTTAGTCATATGACTTAGGCTATAATTAATTGGAGTATTAGCTGTTCTCCTAGCCAGGCAACTGAGTTGCCTGTATTTAGGAGTTACAGTTACAGTCCCCCAACTCTATTGGTATAACATTACCATGATTCGTGAGTATTGTGTACAGAATGAGTCGTTTATTATTTTTCTACTATTATTTTTACGGTGACGGATTGAGAATACGGAGTGACACCATCCCTATTCATCCCGTGGGTGTCGTAAGAGCCGACTTAGGGAACAAACTACGCAGAATAACAGCACTGCAAAGAGAAGGAAAACTTGAAACAAACCCTTTTCTTTTTTTTTTTTTTACGTGTGGAAATCCCCTCGGACCGTCACCCCGCCGGGGCTCTCGTTCGGCGGGGCGGTGTGTCGGACTCGAACCGACTAAAACCACACGGTGTGCCCTCTTTGCGCTTCCAGTTTAGGAGGGGTCTAGGTAGTTATCGCCTTCTGGACCCCTCCCAGCGCCGGCCCGCTCCTGTTGCGGGCTCCGTCTCAAAACTTTCCTCTCTTTAGGCGACGTCCGGCACACGCGGACGCCGCCCCCTCGCGGCTGGCCAACTAATGCGGGTGGAGGGGAGAACCCATCCCGTCCACCCGCGGCCACACTCAGGGCGGCATGAGGCGCAGGTAAGCGCGCCTCCGCCGCCCGGTTCGTCGGCGGCGGATCAGGTCCGAGTGGAGGTCGTCCTCCCGGGCCTTCTCCGCCGCCTCCTTCTGCGAGATTAGCTCCTCGCAGAAGGTTGCGACCGCGGTAAAACAACTGTCGCTACCGGCCATGGAGCGAATTACGGCCGGTAGCGAGAGATCTGCTCCGATGACTGCAGTGAGGGCCCGGCGCTGCGTCGCCCATGCGGGGCAAACCGCCAGCGTGTGCTGGGCCGAATCCTCACTGCAGTCGCAGTGGTGGCAGGCGGGACTCGATTCCCTCCTAGCGACCGAGTACAGGTACTTTCCGAAGCAACCGTGCCCGGAAAGCACCTGCGTCAGCCGGAAGGAAAGGGTCCCGTGCTGCAGCCCTGCCCACTCGGCGATGACCGGCTGGAGAGCCTCCACGGCGGCGAAGCCAGCGCGTGAAGTCTCCAGCCGGAACGACCATCTGACCATGGTGGCTCGGCGAGCGGCTTCGCGCCACTCGCGCACGTCTTCGGGCGGAGGGCGAAATCCGCTCTCCGCCCGGAAGTCAGCCACTCGCCGATAAACTTCGGCGAGCACTTCCGCCTCCAAATCCCACGGGGGTGTTCCGGCCAAGGCGCAAGCCGCCTCGATGGACACCATGCGGTATCCGCGTATGGCTCTGACCGCCAATATCCTCTGGGGGCGCCAGAGGCGCGCCCTATTCGGGGCGGTCAGAGCCGCCACCCACACCGGTGCACCATACAGCGCCATGGACCGGACAACCCCCGCGTACAGCCGCCTCGTGGGAACACTGGCCCCGCCCAAATTGGGCAAAAGTCGCCCTAGGGCGGAGGCAGTGTCCACCAGCTTCGGACCAAGCTGTCGGAAGTGCTCGTCGAAGAGCCACCTACCGTCTAGGACCAGACCCAGGTACCTCATCTGGGCCCGGACCGGTACGAGGACCGAGCCGACCTCGATTGAGGCGCCGGTGGGTGGACCACGACGGGGCCCATGAAATAATAGGGCCTCCGTCTTGTCCAGGGCCACCCGCAAACCCAACGCCTCAATGCGCCCGACCACCAGGGAAACTCCCGTGGTGGCCAGGCGCGCCGCCTCCTGGAAGTTAGCCCCCCGGGCCGTGACTAAAGTGTCATCTGCGTAGCAGAGTACACCCAGCCCGGGGGGGAGACGCCCTCGTAGGGCCCAGTCGTAACCAATGTTCCACAGGAGTGGTCCTAGGACAGACCCCTGCGGAACACCGCACGACATGGCCCTGCGTCTCGAGACGCCGTCTCGGTCCTCGTACATGTCGGTTCGCTCCTCAAGATAGTCTGCCACCAGCCGCCTCAGGTACTCCGGCACTCCGTGGTAGCGGAGCGCTTCCCTGATGCAGCTGAATGACAGACTATTGAAGGCGTTGGCGATGTCCAAGGACACCGCCAACACCACTCCGCCGCAGCTCACGGCCTCCTCGGTCACGGCCCTAAGGCGCATTACGGCATCGATCGTCGAACGCCCCTCTCGGAAACCGAATTGGGCGTCCGACAGATCGGGGCCAACCTCGCAAAGGTGCCGGACGATGCGGGCAGAGAGCACCCTCTCAAAAAGTTTGCCCGCCTCGTCCAGCAACACGATAGGCCTATAGGCCGCGACCGATTCGGCAGGCCGTCCCGGCTTCTGCAGCAGGACCAGCTTCCCGCATTTCCAGCGCTCAGGGAAGCGTCCGGACGCCAGGCTAGCGTCCAAGGCAGGTGGTCCGACATGTAGTCGAGGGCTCGGGCCATCACTCGGGCTGGAACCCCGTCCGGCCCGGGGGCGGTGTTCTTGGATCGAATCCGTAGAACAGCCGCCTCCAACTCCGATTCCCTGACGGGCGGAACATCAACCTCGCTTCTCCGGCTGATGCAGCCATCGACGGGGGTGTGTGCTCCGCCCGCTGCGGGAATAGGCCCTCGACCACTTCCTGCAGGAAGCTGGGCTGGAGAGTCTCCGTAAGGGGGGGGGGCCCGACGTGCGGAGCTTTTGACGCACCGCATGATAAGGGCGACCCCAGGGGTCACGATCGAGACTCTCCAGCATCTCCTCTCTACATGCATCCTTGGCGCGGCAGATGGCCAGCCTCAGAGTTTTCCGAGCTTCTCGGTACATTGAAACAAACCCTATACCAACCCGTCTGGCCAGCGTGGTGTATTAGGCCAAAACCTCCTTTCTAAGAAGAGGCCTATGTCCAGCAGTGGACAGACTAAGGCTGTTGATGATGATGATAATTTATAACTTGATCTTTAATTAAGGATGCCTAGTCGGCACTCTACCGTTAATGTTGGGGATTAATGTTGGATAGTTGCATATACATTTAGTGCTGGAGAACTTTGTAGCGTATAATGTGCATCGATATATCTTGTACTGTTGAAATAGCATGCTATTTCTATATTCTTTGGAATACACTATTATCTATTAGTTGAGATATTAGCATCGTGTTTTTTTTTAACTACACTACCAACAAAATTCAAGTTATGTTATGTAACTGTATACTTATATTGTGACTATATTTATATTGACGAAGATTATCTATACAAATAAATAACATTTAAGTGTGTGTGTGGTGTGAAAATAATAGGTTTTTTTCATGCCTACACTGTTAGGTTTTTTCATGCTTACACTGTTATTTGTACGATAACCAACCTAAAAACCAGTTCAAATATTTTTTGTCTGTCTGTCTGTTTGTTTGTTTCGGGTAATCTTTAAAACGGCTCGACCGATTTTGATAATATTTTACTACTAGGTAGCTGTCTACATAAGGAGTAACTTAGGCTATTTTCCCTCTCAGAAAAACCCTATGTAAATTTTGCCCGGTCCGGGAATAACTATTAAAGGTTCATCAACATCATCACTAACAGCCTTTACTAGTCCACTGTTGGACATAGGCCTCTCCTTAGAAAGGAGGTTATTAAAGGTTAGTGAGCGGCAATTTATCCCATGCAATATAGTCACGCTTCGGCACAGGGGCCAGCTTGACAGATGTTATATCACGTACTCACAGAAATCCAATGTTAGGAAAAAGGCTATTTCACTAAGTTAAGAAAATGTTTTAGATTATTCTATACATAGTACATTAATATTTCCGGGAAATTAAATCTATTTATTTTTTAAATCGCATTAAAGTTCAAATTTCTAACCAGCTCCTACAATTCGAGGGGTGGAGGGCCCTAATGGCCTCAATACACTTGTGTCCCTCAAGTTGAAGGTGCGTATAAGTGTAGTAGTCACTTATCATCAAGTGACCCATCTGCTGGCTTGCCTCCATCAAAAAAATCGGTTGTCTGTAAAGTCGGTTTACTGACGATAGTTGAACGTGACAACGTCATAAGAATACTGATGGAATGGTTGCATTTTACGAAAACATGTAATTGTATTATTGTATAGCAGCTGTCCACGCGGACGCATCGCTCACTCAAGTAGGAGAAAGACAGATATCAAACGCTGCCGAACGCGGAGGCCGATTGTGCCTCTTTGTCTCTCGTTCCGCGCTCTCGCTTGCACTTCAAGCCTTAAATGGAACGTCTCAGATCGAGGTAACGCCGCATGAGTCATGTTTTTTCGTGCGTGCAGCCGGCTCCATCGAATTATAAGACGTTGTCACGTCAAAAGAAGTGAGTGCAAATCATATCTGACACGAAGACTCAACAGTGGTAGCACACGTCGCTGCTTGTATTATATGGGCCTGTTGTTCTAGTAATTGGTGACCCTGACTGCTAAGCCGGAAGTCGCGGGTTCGATTCCCACACAGGACAAATATTGTGTAATGAGCACGGACATTTGTTCTATGTCTGGGTCTAATTTATCTATAATATGTGTTTAAAAAATAAAAGTATGTTTATCGGCGATCTGGTTACCATAGCACAGGCTCTGCCTAATCAGGGATCAGACGGCCGTGTGTGAGATGTGTGAGATATGTCATTATTATTATTATCATTTATCTCGTAACAACTGACCAGCAGCACTTGAGCAAGGCTCCAGCGCTCCACGTATTCGGAGACATGTAGTAATACCAATATGAGGTGGTACTTTCTGATGTCATTGACACGGTGCACCCAATATGTCACACAAATATTTGTTCTGTATGCAATTCAAACAACGCATCTTACTTATCTGAAGCGTGAAGTACGAAATAGGTTAATGTATTTGTAAGGCTGAATATTTTTGTAAAGTTAACTGACAGAGTAGTTATGCTATCTATTAGGAAAATTTCAACAGACAGACATAATCTCGTTTGTATGT